TGCGTACCTGCGTGCGTGCGTGCGTGCGTACCTGCGTGCGTGCGTGCATGAGTGCGTGTGTGCGTGCGTGCGTGCTTGCGTACCAATGTCGCTCCACTCCATACGCTCCTAGTTGTGCACCGCCACTAACACAACACCACACGACAGAATGTTTCGTTTCCTAAGGTGCTCTGGCAACGGAAATTCCCTGGCGTTATGGCTTACAACTTGAAACAACACGAGGAAAAGTACGATCCGATAGTAGAAGAAGTCGAACTTTTGGAAGCAAATCCAAATTACTCTCATGTACGCTTTGCTGATGGGAGAGAAGATACTGTTTCGAATCGTCACCTAGCACCAATTAGTAAGCCCGTTAGAGAGACGTCTGAGCCCTTCGATGAGGAACCAGAGATTGTAAACATCTGAAGAAGCCGAATCATCTCAGCAAGCTATAGATTTGTTAAAAGCCGTAGGCGTAAAAAATAATTTACCACGACGTCCTTCCCGTGACAGGCGTCCACCTAGCATACCTAGGGAACTATGATCTACACTAAACAAAAACACAGAAGAACGTACAGTGAAAGGGTGAATGTGTTATACAAATCTCTTTCATAGTTGAAGTCTGCTTGTCAGTGCCAAATAATGTATTAAATATTGTATCTCAAAATTTAAAAGTAAGATTAAACCAATATTTCTCTTGATTTTTGTCTTGTATCAGAAGCTTCTGATAGCCACTCTTCAAGCTCAATATTGAGCAATTAAAGCCTGAAATAAATTTGTAGATCCTTTTAAGTTATGAAGTATAGGTATAATCAATCACAGATTGTCATATAACATTTCCATTAATTCTGCATTTTGTACGTACTCAAAAGTTCCGCTCCCCCCGATCTGAATACCGATAGGATAGGAAAAACCCGCATTAATGGCGGTCACAGAGTAGGTACTTTAATAGGGAGGTACAATATGGTACTCTTCGGGTACAAGCAATGATCCTATACACAAAAACGTATGTACAACGTTTAATATTTTAATCATTAATTTAATTTGGCGTCAGCTAACGACGTGACTGTAACCCAATCTATATTTTTTTTAAGTTGTCTGTGTTGCTATTTCTAACCTTCATCTCAATAATCTCACCCAAATAAAATAAAATAAATTCAAGAACGTTTTATGTAAAGCACCTAGAAAGACATAACTTTTTGGCTTTTACATAGCATTTATTTTAGCGAGATAATAATAAGTGTATGTTTCATTCGGTGTTAATTCTAATATAAATTATTTGCATAAATATGTTGAATTGAAATTACAAATTGGTCACATCGAGTTTGACACTTTTTCTGCCGGCTGCGTGATGTATTGTGGTGTCCAAAAAAATATTGATAACAAAAATAATTACTACTGATTGATCGCAGCAACCATGGATTTCACACCAGAGTTATCAGCCTTTCAGGGCGCACTAATATCAGCCGACAATGTACATTCATTTTCGAGGCTTACGTCAAAAGGCGGTGAGTAGTACTTAATATACCTATTCAATAATATTTACAAAGCTACTGTTCATATTGCGCAAAATTGCTCGTTATGTACCAATGAATATATCTGTAGTATGTATCTTGGTTTTTAGGGAACGAAGAGAAAATCGAGTTTGTCATTAGTAATCTGAAAAAGTTTTTGAAAGATCGTGAATGTTTAAAAGACGAAGGTATTGTCGAAGACAAACAGGCCACGATGAGAAAATTCGCTTTATTCTTAGTATTAAACGCAGATCTCCCGGCCCTAGAACAAATGGTCGATAAAGAAGGCATAGATTTTGTCATATGGATATTACCTACAATACCAAAATACTTATTAAGCGAATTGCTATGGAATTTTCAAATGGACAAGTTTGTGTGGGAAACAATTGTGTTCAGTTACCCCCCACTAGGTGTAGAGTTAGCGAGTGCACTGATCGAGAATTTCAAATATTTCTCCCCAATTGAGTGTCTATCAAAACTCAATGTTGTTGGTGCAGCTTGCTACAATTTGATTTGCAGACTACACTTATTCAACTTTGAAAATGACGTTATATCCAACATGCTGAATACTACTTTTATCAACTTCAATCAATGTCTTAACTATTTCATTACTCCTCCCAATGCTTGGAGATTAACTAATCTAAGCAAAGACGATCTATATAAATTCAAAGGCAATGGTCTTCGAACAATGTTATACTTAGTAAGCGAGTGTATGCAACTATTTGCAAGCAAACAAGCTTTTGCCCCAAACAGCTTTGATGAATTTTATCAACTTACTTACAAAGTAGGAAGTTGTAAAGAAGAGCCACCAAATTTTAACATCTGTGACAGTCCTAATAAACATATATCGGATTGCATAGAAAAATGTAATGAAATGTTACTAGATAGGTGCAAGGAACTAGTAATGGGTGTAAGTGTGGACATATTCTGTGCTTGGAGCGAATTTGAAGAGAATGGCAGAAGTATGCAGGTAATCATTGGAGAACTGTGCTATATGCTCCGAGCACAGTTACTCAGTATTAATATAGCAGCTGGACATCCTGTAGTTGATATGATCAAACAAATATCTAGAAAGCCCATTGATATACAGGAATTGGTGAACACTGTGGACACTAATATTATAATAGAAAAAATTAACAATAATGTTAGTAGAGCCTCATGGGTGCGTGCTGTGATAAATAAAGAAAACCTATGCCATGATGTTGGTCTAATGCAACATCTTATAAACAACTTGCAAGTGTTAAATGATGAGGAATGCCGAAAATTATTTAATAAATGCATAAATTTTTTGTTTGATTATCGTGAAAATGTTCATGTGCAAATGTTGGCTATGAAAGCTTTTCAATACTGCAGCACTCCTACTAAACAAGATATACTTGAACAGCGTTTCAGCAACAAATCCCTCTTCAGTATTGCCCCACACAGAACACCAGAATTGATCAATGCAATCACTGAAACATTCAACAAATTTATTGCCAATGATAATGTGGACAAATCTGAAGTACTTTGCGTATTTTTGCGAAGCCCTCCAGTTGTTTACATAAAAATATTTGAACTGGCAACAGAGAATAGTCAACAAACAGAAATAATGTTCAAAACTATTTTATTATTAAAATCGTTTTCAAATCATTACTTTTCCAATGAAACTGAGCCATGTATCATTAAAACTGCACAAAGTATGCTAGAAAAATGTAAAGGTACAGAAGCAACAAGGCAAAATTTGATAAAGTTTATTTGTCTATTGAAGGATGCTGAAATAATCCCAAGAGCGAAGTTGCTTATCATGATAATAATGCCTTATTTACACAAAGGTTTGATTACCAAAGATGTATTATTGATAAATGTGCAGTTGAAATTGTTGTCGGCGGGATTTTCTATAGAAGACTTGGTGCCAGAATACCGCGCACCTCTGCTGGCCTTGTTGGCAAAGGTCCTTGATGTTGTACGCTGGAAGATTAATACATTTATAACTGTCAGTCCCAGTACTTTGCAACTCGCACTGGAATTACAAAATGCATTATTCCAAACCTTTGGTGCACAGATACCTGGTAAGTATGGCACTTCGATTATTTTGGTGGACCATTCAACTTGTTTTGCAACTGTGTTAATATATTGTTTTTTGTTTATCAGATAAAGAAGCAAGCTGGTTAAGAATTAATCTCGGAAACACCCAGCCACTGAATCTTTACTACTTCAAAGGGCTGTGGAATCCACCTGGCGAAAACTTTGTAGAAACGATTAGCGGCAAAAAAGTTCACATTGGGATGAACACAGAACAACTGTCCACTTGGCTGTCACAAGTAAGTTATTGTTCCCTTAGACATAATCACTTTGGATGGCCACGATAATGCCATGAAAATTAACTTAAACATTATACATAAGTAAGTTATAAACACTTAACTTTAACTGCCTCCGTGGCCGAACGGTTACCATGCCGGACTGCCACGCAGAGGGCCCAGGTTCGAATCCCGGGCCGGGAGAAATACTTGTATTGCCTACATTTATTTCTCTCGTGAGTTTGGGTGTAATTTGTGGTTGTCTATGTGTGTGTCCATGGCACCCGCGACACAGGGTTTCCCTAGTGCGGGGCTATGTTGATTGTGAGCGTTATTATTGTTATTGTTAAACAAAACTTTATCTTGTAGACTTACCAAAAGTAATTTTTGGTTGTGAATGATAGCATAGACAACCCAAAGACGTTTCCTATTAAAAGTAATAATTCATTTTCTTACAAAATTAAAATTATAACAATTGAATACTTAATCACATTCTACAAAACGATGAATGTGACGTCACAGGCCTTGTGGGATCACGTGAGCGTGTACTCTCTGCATTTGTGATCCTGGCGTACTCGACCTATTGCATTTTGAAAGGATGACTATTAATAAATAAAATTATACACTTCTTAGCGATTAAAATAATTTGAAATCTTCATCAATATAAATGATCAAAGTACGGTACAAAGTTCTATTATTAATCTAAATTTAAGGAGCTTTACCATATAACAAGATGGTAACATTACATGGCAACGAGAAGGTAAACTACTTAAATATACTTTGTACAGTATATTGGCTCCACACGACAAAGGAACAGCCAATACACTATTACACCACCCAACAGTATCTAGTAATAATAAATTTTAAAACCCTTATGTGTACAATGTAAAAATAATGTTTGCCTTGTGTGGCATGTCTGCTAGAATCATTGTAAAAATGCATTTGTCATCTGCCTTATTTTTACTACAGTTGAGTGTTTTCTATGTCAATATCATTTAATATAGATATGTATATTTAATTATAATGTATTTTAGCAATTTAAGTTACAAAATGCTGGTTTTGTTCAGGTGCTATGCTCAACAACTCAAAAGGAATGGTGTGATATATGGGACAGCCTGACCTGCTTTGACGCCGAAAAAACTTTGGATGTCTTCCACATCGCGCTGTGCTTCATTACTCTTGCGGAAGCTGCTAATCGCACTGAAAGCACTTGGGAATGCCTGCTGTATTGCCTCAGGAATTTTGTGTACCTATTGAGGGTAAGATAATATAATATGCTTAATTTAAACAATGACAATTTAAATTTAAAGCAGCAGGCATTGGCGCAAACATCTCGGTATTGAATAAATAACTCGCGTAATTTTTAACGTATAATTACACTTTGAAAAAAATATATATTTCCTATATACAATTCGAAATATAATGTCAAGGGATAACATGATCGTCATTTACGTAAACAATAATTTTATTGTTTATATAAAATAGAATAGTTAAAAGAAAAATACGAACTACAAAAACACAAATAAAAATTTAAATTAAATCTTTTCAAAATACTAACGTATATTCGGTATTCGTTCTTCAAGATGGAGATCTGGCTTGTAGCACTCTGAGGCACTAGTCGAGTCTAATAAAAATAAAATAAATGATTATTTTCCTTCCTGGAACGATACACATGGACACATGGCGAGAACACCAGACTTGACACTATTAGATTACTTTTTCTTCAGATGCGTTACAGTTTTAATAAACAAAAAGCAATTATAAAATGTGGACGAGTTATAAAAGGAATTGTGCCGTATTATTTCAAATATTCATCGTAATAATATTGAGAATTTGCTTACAAGATGAATCACATTGATCGGACATTTCGAGGCCTTTCTATCTCGAACACGTATTTTATAAAGAGTGATTATTCAGGAGATGGCAAAACTTTCTATTTATTTTAAAGTTCTTATCTAAGGTGTTAATTTGGACGCATTACTTTAAGAATAGGTACAAGACAGTGTGTGAATATGAAGGAAATCAGTCTGCAAAATTTGTATATACAATACATTTCTGCAGTTCAGTAACTTTGTGCTTTAAGATACGAATTTGAGAAAGTAAGGCTACGATTTGAGAAATTAATTGTAAAAATTAAGATACATACGTACATTGGCAGTTTCAGGTTTGTTTCTTTTTAATACCTTGTATAATTGAACGGTGTTCCTTTCATGTAAGATACGATGTCACTTAAAAGGAAGTTATATCCTTATGATTCACCCTTTACATCAACATCATAAAAATACAGGAAGTTTTTTTTTACATTAGGTCGCTTCGATTCCCAGATAAGGGAAGGAAGTTTTTAGATCTTCAAAAGCAGTATGACTTACTTTTAAAAATATGATAATGTCCCCATAAAGCAAAATATCCCATGTGTTCAATATTTAAAGTAGTTTCCCTACATATTGCCTAACCGTGAGACAAGCTGTATTCAAAAAAATAATATGTTTATTGTTTTGTTTACAGTACAAATTCTTCAAAGAACCTCTTACGAATGACACCATAATGGCAGCTGTCGAAAGAATATCATCACTAGCCAACGTTTTGAGGGATGATAATCCAGACGATGTATCCGCTGCATTTTTACCAATTTTCGTATACATAGTTGAAAGGAAAAACGATTACTCTGTGAATGTATTAAATCTATTAAGCAGTAAACTGAAAAATCCTAAATTCCATGAAGCGACAAGTAAAGTATTTGTAAGCGGGTAAACAAATTTAAAGAAATACGACTTTTCGTGACTTTTAAAATAAAGGCTGATATGATGGTTTTGGGCACTTGTCGTTTTACGGAATTTTCTAGTAAGCATTAATTACTTCCAAATGCCAGACTAGAAAGGAGTTAAGATCCTTTTGGCCTAGATCCTGTCTGACATTTTAAAATCTTTTTAAATGTATGTTTTTTTTCCACTGTAAAACCTGTACAAAATGTTGGCTGGCATTAGTGAATACCAATAATGTTCTGTAACAAAATCGTGTAATGGTTTAGATTAACTATCAAAGATTTTTGAAGAATAAATATTAAAACTAGCACTTGTTAGTTTAAGAGCAGAGCTATTTCTCGACTTTGTCCCACTGGAATTAGAATTATGTTTGATTATTGAATTTATTGAGAACCCTTTCTTGGAATTATTTTTGTTAAGTTTGTAAGATATATACTAGAAACCAATTCATAGTATTATGACCAGAGATTGGAATAAGCAGAGTGTATTTTACTTAAACTTCAAGTGATACATACAGAGCTGATAGTACTTTCCTCTGAAATTCCAGAATGATTAATATCTAATATACAAGATAGGTATATTTTCACTTACGAAACTTTACTTCTGATTACATTACAATAAATAAAGTAATTGCATAGTATATATCGATGGCTCCAAGTATAAGGGCCAAACCAATATTTTAATCATTTTCACGAAATGAAGCATTTCCCACAAGATATAAGAACAATAGTAGGTCACCTCCCGCCTGTTCGGCGCGGAAATGCCTATATTTCGCTCGGAGCCTGAGGTTACATTATTATTTTAGTTGGTCTACAGACTGTAAACATAATTTAAAAAAATAATAAGGTGTAACTATTTTTCCGTATTTAAATACCGTATATTTGTTTTTTTCAAACAAACCAATGTTTTGGTCCCTTTACAGATCCCATGGTCACGGTTGACTGAGGTGGTACAGTCATCAACCAGTTATGTCTAACATTAATGCAAACCACCCTATTTTTTCACTATAGTTACAAAAGTGATTAATTGAATGGTAACCTATCACAAGCAAACTCGAATTTATATTTTCCGAAATAACGTTTGTTCGAATTTTCACCACCCTGAAAACCGAATTATATCGAAACCGTTGTTCTTTCACGATATATTGGATGTTTATCGCAAAGACACTATCAGTTTCGGTTAGTTTAGGTTAAGTTAGGTTTAAAAGAAATAAAACCTAACTTTAAAAGAAACCAGTCTGGAGGTAGAGTCCCCACATAACCCCTGAGTCTCCCTGGGCTCAGGGGTATCCATAAAGATTTCCCCCCCCCCGTCAAAAAAAAAAACAAAGGCTTAAAAGAATTTTAAACATTTTCCTCTTAAAATTACTTTCGAGGTTATGAAAATTCGAGCAAACGTTATTTCTGGAAAATGTCATTTCGGACATCTGATAGGTAACCTAATTAAATACCTGATTATTAATTTTACAACGAAACATTCCAATTTACGCTACATTATGTTCTACAAATTATTTTGTTTTAACAATATTAATCTAAACTTATTATTAATTTATAATGAAAATTAGAAAGAATTAAAACATAATAATTAGTTCTGCAGTCTTATGTCTTTGTTAAATGCAGTTGATACTTACGTATTCATTGATATTTTTATACCATCATCGTGGAATTGGAATTTTGGTTATGAAGTATGACTATGTAATATAAATGATATGCTAAACACTTCTGAATTTGAGGCACTCGTTTTCAAACTAACACAAACACAACGATAAACACGTCTCCTATTTGAAACAATTTTTTAAACACCGAACGACTTATTATATTAATGACGCGTGTGACGAGCCGCTCAGTGTAACGCGAGTGCACTGCGAGATTATGCTAATGTGTGCGTCCGTACACGGCGCGCAGCGGGCGTGCACACAAGAAAGCCGCGCTGCTACATTTGTATGGAGTTACCATACTTGTCTTATTAAGCACGCTTATAATTGAGGCTATCAGCGCAAGAGTGGTGTAACCCCACGAAATGCATATAATAATTGGATAATGAGGCATTTAAAATTAGCCACATTCATTTTATATATAGTAATCATATATGACCAATATATTGCAAAATGTATTAAATAAATTTAAAAAAATAATAATTATAATTTTTTATACATTATATTTATTATATTTAATTTATTAATATTTATTATATTTAATTTAATAATTAATTTTGTACTTTAGTATCATTTAAAGTAATATTGTAGAAAAAGAATGTGGATTACGCCACTTTTGCGCTGACAGCTTTAATTTTAAGTCGTAAGCGTAGCTCAGCTCAACACTAACAATTTATGAACAATTTCATTTTTTACAACGTGGCAAAGTGTTAAATTCCGCCATCACATAAGCACGCTTTTCAAATTTAAACGTAAGCGTTAACAACGTGCTTATGTTTCAAATCCCGCCATCTATGTGTCCTAAACAAATTAATTTGTGAATGTGAATATTATGAACAAAAATTAAAACTGGTGTTTTACAAACAAACTTACTTATCTTAAAACCTTTAGCCTGTTCAGGCTTTTCACTGTCAACACAATGATGAAAGCTTTTTTAACAAAGTGTGTATATTATAGGCTTAAATGTTTTGCTAAACGATTTTGTAAGCTTCAAATTAAAAAGCGTTTAAGGCGAAAGCTCTTATATAAGCAAGCTTATTTGAAAAAGTACAATATTTGAACGTTTAAAATTAATAAGTTTTTTTTTCCGTCTCTACTTATTATACTATGGTAATTGCTTGATACACATAAAAACAAAATAAAATTAATAAGTTTTTTTCCCATCTCTACTTATTGTACTATGGTAATTGCTTAATACACATAAAAACAAAATACAATGCAACAGTTCCGTGATTTCTGAGGGAGAAATTATGCAATCTATGTGTATTACTTCCTTGAAGTTTGCGTACTCTCGTTCGAACTATGATTATGATTATTCATTTTGTTACCACATGAAAGTTCTTTTTACACAACAGGATCTAAAAGGAACTGGCCAGCCTCTACATGTTTATTTAATATGAAGTCTCTGATTATTGTCATAATAGTGGTTTTATTGTTTCTATTTGTGTCCATATAGAGAAAACATTGTAGGGCTTCACTTGAGCCAACGCTGTCGTAAAGTTACTTCGTTGTTAGTATAATTCCATCAATTAGACGTTAGTATATTCAATAGATAAGGCGTTATGGGTCATATTCGCAAAACGTGACATATCATTTTCGCAAAATTCAAATTCGCGTGTCCTACTCGCAAAATGTTCAAAGATCTTTATTAAAGTTATTAATAATGTATAATTCAACTTGAAACCACCTAGACGAAGGTTTTTAAGACTTTCTTGGTTATTAACTAAATAATTAGCACGTACAGTCATCACTAAATAAGAGGCCAAATTTGACAGCTAAAGCAGACGATAGTATGTAACTTTGAATTTAATCAACGAAACAATAAACAAACAATGATTAACTTATTGAGTTTTAAAAAAAAATATAAATTTTATTGAAACACTATATAACATGACGAAACATATTTCAAGCACTGTTTGCGCACGAATTCCAAAAAAAAATGACATTTTGAGTTACTCTGAAACGTCATAAAAACAGTTACATACTCAATCTATTTTTTTTTTTTTAAATAATAGCATTGTAACCAATTAATCGCCGAATTTCACCGAGTCACAGCGATTTCTCGAAAAAAATTTGACTTATTAAATATTAAAACAAAAATTTAAAAGCTCATAGCCGTATAGCCATGCAGATTTCTATTTCCTTTTCTTTTTCGCAAATTTTGAATTAGCTACACTGATATCGATCCAGCGGCACCCAAAAAACAAGAAAATTAATAAAGATTTTGATGACGATTTAAATATTGACAATATAATTGAAAAGGAATTAATTATTTATACTGGTGACACTGCTCAACTGACGATTTTGGCTCGTTTTCCGATAAGAGTGAATAAAAATTTAAATTATGAAGCCTTTTGGTTTTACTTCATAATTTTGCTACATAATTACAGGTTGTCCTTGTGAACTATTGTGAACTATATATATACTACAATAGTGTGCTAATGTAACTCACTATAACAACAAGTACAGGCTGTTGTGATTATTTAAAATACTTATTATTTATATTTTACCATATAATGTTTTAATACATTTTAATTGTATGTACTATCTAGAACTGAAAAGAAATGAACCGAAAAATATTTGTAAACAACCACAAAGTCATAAAATTTGGAATCGATTCTCGTGAAAATCGTTTGATGTGGTTACCGATATGATTAGTTCAGATCCCTATTCACAAATGTCAAATTTGGCCTCTTATTTGATGACGACTATAGTTACACCTTTCTTACCACGGTTTATGATTTCTTTTTGTTTTCCCCACATCTCGCGACGGTTATACGTTCCATGGTCACGGGTAGATTAGATGACGATTTTAAGGACAGTCATATCCACAGAATAATAAATACCGTGGAAGTGCTTAGTGGGCGCACATGTGCCAACAGTACGTGGAGTTTCACGTAGTTGAGCTCAGTCCGCCATTTTCGCAATGTACGTTTTATAGTCGTGTCAATTATCTCGCGTAAAACCTCCAAACTCGTAGAAAAGTACCTTATTATGCTACTTTGGAGTGCAATAATAATAGTCGCACCTATAATATGGTGGTGTTTAATATCATCGTTCAGTCTTATTTTTATTGTCACCCACTCTTTCCTACAAACAACGCTCACTGTAACCGCACGTGAAACTTAAATCGAACCATTTTTGTTTTATTATTATTGTTGTAAGCACTAGGTACTCAACGCACAAGATAGTTTAAATCCGCCTTCACGGTTAAACCTTTGGCATTTTGTGATCTCAATGGCTTATCGTAAAAAAATAATCGATATCGACGGGACGTCACTACGACCACATTTGGTACGATAAGCAAAGAGGGTATGCACGTATGTCTGTTCTGAAAGTGGAGCGTGTAACCGTTCTGAAATATCGTGTACACAAAATGAAATCATACCTTGGTTTACCTAAACAAAGGTTGAATTAATTGGAACTACAAATTACTTAGGACGTTTTGCGTATGGAGCATTTTGCGAATATAGCGCCACGATAATCATTTACATCTGCATATTATTCTGGTTACAACAAAATGCTGGAAAATTTTTACTTAGTAATTACTCTTAACTGTTTTAGACGTAATTTTTATCGAAAATAGAAAGCAGTATTATTATTATTATTATATAGTAAGTTATCTCGAGTAGAACGCACTAAGCCATGAGCGCGACCCCTTTTAAATGCCGGAGACAGGTTTAAGTTTTGTGAAC